ATGGAAGGGGTTTGGCACTCAAAATTGTTTGTACATGACAAATGGCTATTGATCGTTGCTGTCTATCTTAATTTAGAAAGTCCTAGTGTTTGTTTGATAAAACTTTATTAAAATTTATCAACTTTTCAGTTGATTAAATTTAACTAAACATTTCATTGACCCACTTAGCTCACAAAAAGCTAAGGCTAGATGAAATGGATGATGTTTGGATATTGGCCAATCATTCCGTGGATATCATGCCAAGTGATTCGACATCCTTGAGTACTTATGTATTAGTTGCTTACTCGATGATAGTCATAATGTAGCACTGGGATTTTTGTTGGTCGGCAACTTTCCATCATATGTACACTATGGGATATTATGGTTCCTCACAAGCTGAGGTCTAGTAGAAACCTTGTTTGTTTTTGGAAGAATGTCCTGTACACATAATTAATTCCATTTATCAAAATTATGAAGTACACAAGTGTTATGCTACAAAGTAGATTGAATGAGTTACAAGAGTACAAAATCTTATTCCTTGCATGAGCTTTATTAGAGGAGTTGCAAAATTTATAATATTGTCTTTGTACATTTTGTATATATGTACTCTGTGTACAACAAATTCAATGTATTAGAGAGATTGTTATTTTAAATTTTTGCTCTTTAATAATAAATGTCTGTCTGGAGCTGCTTCTTCCTTGGATTAAAATTGAAATTCCAACAATTGGAATCGCAGAATTTGACCAATCCTCTCACAGTCAGGCATCACCTGCAGCCTCTAACGGTCAGAAATCTACTACTTAACAGAGTAAAATTGCCTCCAGATGTGTGTTTTTGAGATAAATAATGTTTTATTGATCAAAGTTGGATGCAACTGTTAACATTGATAGATAAGAATCAATTTTTTTAGCTACCAGTACTTGGTCAAATATAGAAGTTCGAATTGCAAGAGTGGAAACAAAATTGGGAGAATCAACTATTCCTGAAATCCTTTCTTCAAAGGGGCAGCAAGAGAGTAGAATATGTTGGCGAGAGCTGTTACGAAAACATTTTAGGAAACAAAATCATCTCATTTTAAGAAATAGAATTAACAATGACGTGTAGAATCAATCATCTCGATATTATCCAAAATTAGGAGTTTTCACACTCCTATATAACTATGTATTTCACATATTGATTGTATGAATGAAAAAATACCTTTTGTGTGTAGTGTGACATGGTATCAAAGCTGGACACACGATCCATGGTCCTCCTCTCCAAATTACATCTAGCCTGATTCTTGTGAACTTTTTCACAAACACATGAAGGGCTCCAACTTTGTCACCGATCCCAGCCAATCTCCACAAAATACCGATGCCATACTTACAGATATTACCACCAAGATTTCTGAAGCTTTAACCAAGACACACATATCAGCCCCACCCACTGAAAATTCACCCCAGATTGGCATCAGGCTGAATGATACAAACTATGGCCTATGGTCCTAGGTAATGGAAATGTATATTTCCGGAAAAGATAAACTAGATTACATTAATGGAGATACACCTCCACCCCTACCGACCAATCCAACCTTTCGAAAGTGGCGAACTGAGAATGCCATTGTCAAGGGATGGATTATCAATTCATTGGACCCCATTCTCATTGGCAATTTCATTCGTTTTCCTACTGCTAAGGAAGTCTGGGATACTATTGCCACTACATAGTTTATGATCTTCGAAGAAGGATGACTCGACTAAAACAAGCAGGCGGATCTGTCGAAAAATATTACACTAAACTGCAGGGATTGTGGCGTGAAATTGACTTCCGTCCCACAAATCCGATGAAGTGCGCCACTGACATCCGCTACTTCAATAAGCTGACCCAGGAAGATAGAGTTTATACCTTTCTTGACAGGCTCGATGATCGCCTCAATAGCATCCATAGTGGAGTTTTGCAAATGGACCCATTTCCTACCGTAGAGCAGGCATATGCATATGTCCGTTCAGAGGCATTGCGACAGGCGGTGATGACTTCTACAGACTTCGAAGGCGGTCCTCCTGGAGCTGTTCTGGCTACCAAAGGCATGAAGATGAGAGAAGCTACTGGATTGAATTCTTTAAAGGGAGGCCCAATTAAAAACGGGCCGAATAAATCAAAGGGCTTGGATGAGGAAATTAAGTGCTCATATTGTGGAAACAACAAACACACACGAGAAACTGTTTAAAACTTAATGGATTTCCCGATTGGTGGCATGAGTTGCAGGAAAAAAAAGAACAAAAATGGGATAGGAATTGATAAACGAATGGGCAAGGCGGCCATGGCAACATCTGACTCTCAATTATCTTTGATTCCTCAAAATGGGTATTTTCAGGATACAGATCCCTCATCAGAACTAGGTAATTTTGGTTCAGCTTGTGTTACATCCTCCAGTGACAAGAATAATAATTTTTGGTTACTTGACTCCGGGACAACTGATCATATAACATATGATGAAAGTGATTTTATTCAAAGGACCTTACCTCGACGCACCAGAGTTGCGAATGCAAACGGAGTTATTTCCCCAATCTCCGGGGCTGGCTCCGTATCTCTGTCACCCTCTCTACATTTATCTCACACTTTACTTGTTCCGTCACTCTCACATAAATTATTATCTGTAAGCCAAGTGACAACTGAATTAAATTGTGTGATACTTATCTATTCAATATTTTGTCTTCTTCAGGATATTCTCACCAAGGAGATACTTGGGTGTGGTACTAAGAGAGGGGGGTTATACTACATGGAAGATTTCAATGTGGGTCACACTCATCATGTTCAGAGTAATGCGGAGGAACGACAAATTTGGATGTGGTATCGTCGTCTTGGACATCCATCATTCGGTTATTTAAAGTATTTATTACCTAGTCTTTTTTCGAATAATGAAGTTTCTGATTTTAAATGTAATACCTGCATTTTAGCAAAAAGTCAACGCACTTCTTATCTGTCAAACATGAATAAAAGTAGTATTCCTTTTTCTCTAGTACATTTTGATGTGTGGGGACCTTCGCCCATTGCAACAAGGTTTGGGGTTCGTTGGTTTGTTACCTTTATTGACGACTGCACTCGCATACCTGGCTCTATCTACTAAAAAATAAAGATGAAGTGTTCAAAGTATTTCAGTCATTCCATGCCATGATCTGGACTCAGTTCTCTGCCAAACTCAGAGTTCTTCGTTCTGATAATGGTGGTGAATTTATCAACCAACAGTTTCGTACCTATTTCGAACAACACGGCCTCATTCATGAGACATCTTGCCCTCAGACCCCTCAACAAAACGGTATTACTGAACAAAAAAATCGACACATTCTTGAAATAGCGAGAGCTCTCCTTCATGAAACCTATGTTCCAAATTGTTACTGGCCTGATGCAGTGTCCACAGCCGTATACTTATTCAATCGGATGCCCTCTAAAGTCTTAAATTTTAAGACTCCACTGCAGGTCCTATCATCCCATGTTGCTCTACCATCGACCATCATGCTCTCTCCTCGAGTATTTGGTTGCGCCTATGTATATCTTCACAAGAATCAATGAACAAAACTTGACCCATGTGCTCTCCGATGTCTCTTCGTGGGATATGCTACACATCAGAAGGGCTATCGATGCTATGATCCGTCCTCCAAACGGATCTATGTGACCATGGATGTTACCTTCTCGGAGTCTGACACATTCTTTTTTCCAACACCCAATTCTCCTCTTCAGGGAGAGACAAGGGATGCAGAGTTAAATTGGTCAAGGTTTGACTGGTCAAATAATACTGAGATCGAGACAACTCCAATAGATAATACAACTCAAGAACCAAAACCAATTGTAGAAGCTGAACCAAACTCCACTGAACCAAAACCCCCTTCCTCTTCAGTATCTGCAGACCCTTCTCCTGAGAATATCTCTGAGGTAAGCACTCCTTTACATATAAGCAATTTAGATACCCCTGGTGGCTACAATTTACCTTTTAGGCATAATC